ATGAAAGGATGTATTTTGTGTTGTGAAATGCATCATCGATTCAAATGTGTTTTATCTTACAGTCTGAATAACAAAAATAGTTTCCAAACCAAAGCAAAACGGTGTTTTTAGGCTTTCTCTTTAAAAAAGCCTAACTGGAGGTTTCTGTCCTAATTAAGACTGATTTTTTTTTTTTCTTTTTTAAAGAAATTGAGTAATTTATTTCCAGCTAACTCCAGTCTAAACCACTTGTTCTTCCTTGGCTCTCCCACCCCGTGTTTACCAGGCGTACAACCTGGGCACCCATCCGCAGTGCTTCCATCAGCTCCAGGTTCCAGCACTGCCAGAACCCCCCTGGGATTTGACTGGGGCTTGGTAAGACCTCACAGAATCAAACCAGCATCAGCAAAACGGCTATCAGAGCACCTGGGTTTCAGTGTCTCAGTACGAGTTGGAGTGATTTCAGAATCTGTGCAGCCACTGTTTTTTGACATAGAAGGCTGAGATGCAGAACAGCCCAACACCTCTGCAGGATCAGCACATCGCTTCTGCGGTGCCAAGGAGGTGTTTTAGGATCTGTTAGATGAAAGGCACCGGGTAACAAAGAGGTGACAGTATGCAATGTATCTTCTGGATGAGAGCACGGGAGGGAAAGAGAAAAATAGGGTTAAATGGGTACTGGGAAAAGAAGGGGGACAGCAGGGGAGGGCACTCAGCCAGAGGGGAGCTCAGAGAGGGGAGTGGAGGGGAGGGAAGGGAGCAGAGCATCTGCAGAGTCTCTGCCAGAGACCAAAGGGAAAAAAGAAATTGCTCTGCAGTTAAATGAGAACCAAGGGAAAACTGCACAGATGCCTGAGTCGCCTGAGTGCACTTTGAACAGTAAAAGAGCCAGGCACTGGCAGCGAGAAGAGACACAGGCAGGCCTGAAGGGGGAACGTGCAGAGGGTCTGATCCAGCTACAGTCTCAGATCTGGCTTCCAAAAAAATGAATGGAAGGGCCTTTGGGAGGCTGTGGGGCCCTTAGCCAGGAATTGAGGTGCAGGGAGACCACTGCTGCATCTCATACGTTGTTCTCACAGGAAGCACTGGTGAATGAAGCCTGGAGTGCCCATTACCTGCAAGAAAACTGAGACTTGCATTAACACAGCTCTGTCACAGACAGGGAACATCGCAGCAGGACACCCCTTCCCACGGGGTGCCAAGTAGGCCCATGGTATTGTAGAGTCGATGGAGATAAAGAGTGTTTGTATTTGCTTTTGCAACAAGATAAGATCAAGTATCAGCTGCCCCTAAGGGAGATAAAGCAAAGATGAGCCCGGCAGCAGCACCATCCTCACCAGCAGGCCGTGTCCCCCCAGAGAGCAGTGGGCAGAGCCAGTGATTACAGGGCCCAGCAGCAGCTCCATGCACAGCACACAGACACTCAGGCCCCGCCATGGGGTTCAGGAAGGAATAAGATGCCATGAGACTGAGATCAGGAGACATGGCCACAACACAGGTCAAAAGTCCCTCTGGGAAGTGGAAGGGGACAGAGCTGCAATGCACGTCCAAGAAGTCTGTCCAGGAGAAAGCCTGGAATCAGACACTGCTGCAGCATCACTTACAGAGTGCATGTAGCCGCAGGCTGAGCTTAAATGGGGTCCCAGCCCATGGATACAGGTGGAGGCAGGTGGGGTCAGGGTCACTGAGAGCATCTGTGCCTTCAGAGCTACACAGTGTGTAATTTCAACAAGCAAATGCACTTGGGAAGCTTGAACAGGGCGCAGCAATCTAACAGCAGCTGAAGGGAGTGCAGTCCCACATGAGCCAAAGGCTGTGCTGATAACCTTTCTGTGTGAAGGAGGCGGCACTGCGGGGCAGGAGCTTTCCCACTGAGGGGTGAGGGAGGCCGAGCTGCGTCCATCAGCCCTGTCCTGCTGAGGGTCGTGCCAGGGGCAGTGCTGAGGGACACAGAGGGGTAACGCAGCAGGGCTCTGTGTGCCGTGCTTGAAGCACTCTTTGATTTTTAACAAGACATATCCAGCAGGAGCATTTTTTCTCTTTTGTCTTTATTTTACAGCTGTGAATTATTGAAAGCTTTACTATTGCTCTCCCAAATCATTCTTGGGCAAACAAAAGATAGTTCTGAATGTGCTTTCCAACAAAAGCAATCGCGACGCATTTCACTCATGGTTCAGCGTTGCCTCTCTTTTGCCACATCTTAAACTACTTCACCACTTGGGCTGATCAGCAGTGTCCACTCCACGGCAGAGGGGGCAGCGGAAGAGCCTGAGGTGTTGCAGGTCAAGATGAAAATGCTGCGTGTGCCATTAGCTGTCAAAACTATAACGAGCTTAAATCAGTGCAATTAGATTGCTCATGGATTACAGGAGCAACCGCTGCAGCTATCCATTGCACACGCTGCGCGATTAAACTGCAGTCCTGACATTAAAGTGACATGATTAAAAGCAAGTGTCGAAGGCTCAGATCTATGGAAAGCTCAGCAGGCAGGGTTAAGTCCACAGCTTCTTTAGAGGTCTTCTGGGGTTGAACACTCCAGGGTCTGGGAATGATCTCCAGCCCCTCAGCAGAGCCAGCTCTGCTTTTAAGTCTGTAATGCCATCTTGTGATTATATCCGGGAAGTGGAGACCACAGGTCCCCTCTGTGGAGTTTGATGCAGCATGTGGCTCTTGTTCAGGCAGATGGAAAGCCCAGAAGTACCCCTGTTTAACAAGTTTGGGGCTAAGAGGAAATCTGTCTCTGACAGAAAAGTCCCTACTCTTGCTCTGAGAGAGTGAAAATGATTCATTTCATTAATATTTATCCTTCTAGTCCAATTCTCTGGCTAAGAAAGCAATTTCTTCCAGGCTGAAGAATTTGATTCAGATCTCTCTTTAGGTACTGAGGGCTAATCTTCTCTTTCAGTGTGGAAGGAAACTGCCACATTCAAGCAGTAAAGGCACTTTTCTTCCCTGATTGAAGCCAGAGAGTTCAGTGAGGTCAGCTTTGTTGTAAGCATCCACACTAACTTGAATGCTGAGATGCACTCTGAAGGGCATGGAGAGCCAGCATAGGAAACACAGGATCTGTGGAGCTAGAAGCAGCAAAAACAACCACCAGCTGCATCAGCTGTCAGGAAACGGCACAGGGCAGCCAGCTGTCTGCTCACCCCTCGCACTGTGCTGCAGACACACAAGGCAGGACGAAGCCATCAACTGCTTCCTGCCCAAGGGGGGCAGATGTTCTTCCTGGGTGCAGGGACACGTGTTCATGGAGGTCATTCTGTGTAGGCTGCTCCTCTCCTACACAGCCTACCCTGCCTCGTCCCAGGTGGTGCTGGGCTTGTTCAGCACACAGCAGCCACAGCTCTGTGCTGGGAGGGTCACTGGTGCTCAAGGTGAGGAGCACTGGCTGCTCTCCATTTAGCACTGAGGCTCACAACTCATTAACTTCCCCCATCCTATCCCTCAAATATCACAGCAAGAAGATACTGTGCCAGAACTCCACAGAGATGCACCATAGGCCAACAACAGCCCATCGGTGGAGGCAGAGCCCTTGGTCTTGTCACATGTGAGCTGTCTCCATGGGGCTTTCTCAACACTGATTGCCCACAGAGGATGCTCTTGGAGGAGATCCTCCCAGCACAACAGGCAACAGCCAGCAGGCACATCACCCCAACTGCACACAAACCAGACGGGATGGTCAAACTGGAAAGGGCCTGAACAAAAGTCACCAAAGGAGGCATGCCAGGAATGAAGGACAGTATTTTCTCAGCTGTGCTCCAGGATAGAAAATCCAGGGTTATCACAAGGCTGGTGCAAAGTTTCAGTGATGGAGGAACAAGCAAACAGAGGTACTTTGTGATCTTTCCTTGAAGTCTTTCTGCCTGTGATCAGGGCCCAGACAATGAGCCCTGCCAAGCCCTGACAGGCTGCTTAAGAAACCACTCGAGTTTGAACCAGTATAATTCATGAATGCAGTGTGGGCCCATACTCATAACCTTAAGATGTCTTCAGCAGCACCAAGGAGATGCTCCCAAAGCTTTCTGAATGCCAAATATCAGAAGTCGGCGAATCTAAATGTCAGGAACACCCTGTAACTTCACAGCAAGGGTTTCCTTGTGCTCCTGCACAGCTTTCCTATCTAGTAGTTGGGCACGGAGCATTGTTTCATCTCGTGCAGTGAGGCAGGCTCAAGCACACGCTTGCACATCACTTACAAACCTGGATAAAAGCTGTCACACCAAGTGAAGCACGTCAGCTCTGCCTCGGGTATCAAGTCAAGCACAGCTCCTGCCACAGCTTCCTGGCAAACGTGCCTCCTACACCTACCACAGCTCTTCTGACTGCTGAGAGAATGCTCCTGGGACGGGCTGAGCCCAGCAACGCCTTGCTTGGAACCTGTGCCACAGCAGCCCTGCCAAGCACCGGCTCTCCGAGCTGCGTACAGCCGCGCAGTGAGTGCAAGCAGTGCCAGTCCTCCTGCGTGCCGAGCTGCCTGCTGAGTGCCGCACACAGCGCTGCCTGCCTGGGCTGACCTGCTGCCAACAGCTTTCATAGAGGTTTCATCTGCTTAATTGTGCTGTCCTTCCTCCTCTCCCAGGCAGGATTTCAGCTACAGCCGATGTCAGCAAACATCTCATTATTCTTTGATACTCAGGCACTCGCTGGGCCTGTTGTTCATCTTAGCCTGGTGGAAGCGGAACGCATTCTCTTTTTTTCCCACAAGTGTGGCATCAGGGATGGACGAGCGCAGACGCTTTGTTTCAAGGCAGATTAGAGATAGAAGCTATCACAAACAGAAGCACCGCCAGCCTTCACAAGAGCTCCTCTCGTCTAGACACAGCATCCCTGAACTCCGCGCAGCCCAGCCAGCACCGCAGGGACGCAAGCGGCTCCAGCAGCCCGTCGAGCCAACGCTCGCCCACCTCAGAGCCGCGGGGACGGCACGGCGGCTTCTAGGCGGTACGGCGCCCGCCTGGAGGAGCGGCCCGGGCTCGGACCCGCCTCGAGGGGCGGCGCCTGCGGAACCACCCGGGCGGCGCGGGGAGGCGCGGCCTCTTTGGGCGCGGGTGGCCGTGAGGTGAGGCTGCGTTCCGCGCGTGTCCCGCAGCGCCGCGCTGCGCCCAGCGGTAGTCAGCCTCCCCCGCTGCCGTGCGCGGGCGGTGTTATGCCGCTGGCAGAGCAGCGCGCTGCCGCGCAGCCCCGGCGCGCCGTGCCGTTCTGGCCCCGGGGCGCCGGGGGTCGGCAGCCTCCGCGTGCCGAGAGTGGGGAGCTCCGGCGGGTGGAGCTGCTCCTAGATGGCGTGCGGACAGCCTCGGCTCGGCTCTCCGTGGGGCGCCTAGTTTAATGCTGCGTCTTTGGAATGAAAACGGAGGCCGGGGGGATGAAGCGGTAAGGAAGGGCTGGGTACGAGTCGTGTTAACTCTTCTGTGTGTGCTTAAATTGCAGGCACGTGGATTTGCGCGTTCCTGCGGGCAGTCCGAAGGCACAAAAGAAGCTGTCGGTGCTGCTCTGACGGTCCCACGTGGAAGGGTTTGTGTGGAGGAAGCTCAGAAGCCACGCTGCTCCCAGAGGAGCGATGGTTTCAGGATCCGGCCTTAGCAGATGGAAGTAGCAAAAGGCGCTGCGTGAGGTATAATGAGAATTTCACAGTCGGTTGGTGGTTAAGCCACGCTCACTGCTAGTTCAAAATCGTATGGTTTTCTTTGGCCTATTAAACTTACTTAAACGTGATCACTGTTGTTTCTGTTGTGTGGTACGGCTGTTGGATATGGAAGGATCTGTGGTGTTGAATGCAGTCGAGAGGGACAGGGAAGTAACGCAGCACCCCGTCCCTGCTGTGTGTGCACGCTTCCCTCCATTGCTTCTGCAGGGAGATCTGTGCCATGGCTTGCCTCCTGTCCTCCTGCACTGTTGCAGGTCCGGAGGAAGATGCTGCTTAATTCAAAAGTGGGTAACTGAGGAGGGGGGGTATCGCTCCCACCGTAGTGCCTGACCCATCTCAATCAGTGTGGTGAGCAGAGCCCCGTCTTCTGTGCACTGTGATGCTGCAGGATGAGCAGCTTTTCAGGGCAAAGTTTTCCAAGTTATTCCATGGTTTTGAGTCACATTACGTTACAATTAACATACAGATGCCACCGTAGCTGATGTGCATCTGTGTACAAATAAAATGAGAGGCAGTGATGTGAGCCTGCCCCTTTCCCAAACGCCTGGTGCTGTTTCCTTGGGCACACAGTGCTGAGTGCTGAGCTGTGGAGCACACAGGCTGGCTGCTGCCCTCAGGAGGGACAGGGGCTCGTGTTCTCATGGCCAAGGCTTTTAACCTGCTGAGAAAGAGATGTTCTGGGTCGGAGATCTCTCCTGCTGAATTTCTGGAACTTGGCAGGAAATAGGAATATTTGCTCTCAGCCACAGGAAAGCATGGGCGATGTGGACAATAAACACGTGCCAGCTGGCTTCTTTCCTTGAAAAAAGTCTGATAGCTTCACCTCTGGGCTGCGCTGAGGCTTTGAGGGCCAGCTGCGCTCTGACACAAGAAGCAGTAGGAGGGGCAGAGATGGCTCATCGGTGTGACCCCAAAGCTCACCCGCTGCTGGCAGCAGTGCTTGGGGTGCCCTGCAGAGCTCTGCTCAGCACAGGGGATGGAGATTAAAACCCGTGGGGCGGAAATGGGGTCAGGAGCAGTCAGGCCCGGGGTGCTCCCAGGAAACCGCCTTTCTCCGGGAGCTGTGGGCTCCCACAGCGCAGCTTCCCGGCCGACGGAGACGTGGATTACACGGCCACGAAACGAGGCTGGAAACGCTCCGACTGCCGAAGGACTTTAAATGATAAATGTTCCCGTCGTTTCGGCGCTAATGCCGGCGGAGGGCAGGAGCGAGCGGCGCGCGTCCCCGCTGTGGCGCGAGGTGGCGCTGTGGGCCGTGCCGAGGGAGGCCGCGCCGCCGGTTCGTGGTGCTTTTTTTTTTTTTTTTTTTTTTTCCTTTGCCAGAACATTCTAACGCGCCCAGCGGGGCCCGGAGCCCGTGCTGACAGACGCCTCCGCGCAGGTAACGGCTCCGTCCCGCCGGGCGCCCGGCCTAGGAGCGGCGGGACTATGGGCGGCCGCGGCCCGGGGCAGGTAACGGCGGCGCGCGGGGCCGAGGGAGGCGGAGGGCGGGCGCGAACCCGCAGCCCCGCGGCCGGGGGGCGGAGAGGCGCGCGGCCAAGCCCCGCCCAGGCGGCAGCGCGCGGCCATGAGGCGAGGACCGGCGGAGCGGCGGTGCTCTCGCGAGAGCTCGGTGAGCGGCCTCCGCCTCTCGCGAGACCCGGGCCGGCGGCGCCTCCCTCAGCCCGGCCACATCCCCACAGGCGGAGCGGGGCGGCCGGCGCCGGCGAGCGGAGCGGAGCGGCGGGGCGGCCGCCGGGCACGTGAGCGGGGAGCGGCGGGCAGCGGGCACGTGAGCGGGGGGCGGGCGGGCGTCGCTCTCGCGGGCGCGGCGGGACGCGCAGCCGCTTCTCTCCGTCCCTCCTCCCGTCCCTCCCCCGCCGCCGGCGCGACGGCGAACGGGAGACACCGCCGCGGCCCGCAGGTAGGAGCGGTGCCGCCGCGTGCCGGGCCGCGGCCGCCGCTCTGAGGGAGTGGAGGGGAGAGGAGGGGAGGGGGGAAGGAGAGAGCGGGAGGGACCGTTAGAAGCCGCGGCGGGGGAGGGGAGCGGGCCCGGCGCGAGGCCGCTCCGTGAGGCGCTGCGCGCATGCGCGTCCTCCGCCCCTCGGGATCGCCCGCAGCGCCCCCGCCCGGCGGCAGCGCCAGGCCGAACAAAGCCTCGGAGCGCCGCCTCCCGCCGGCACGGCGCTGCCGGCCTGCTGCGCGAGCGCCCGGGCGTCCCGTGCCCCAGAGGCCGGTTCATCCGGAGCTAGTTAACGCGCGAGGCCGCAGGAGGCTGACGGAGGAAGCGCTCTTTCTATTCAGTTTCACTTTCGTGTAATTGGCGCTGCGGTTCCGAGCCGCGCTCAGCACGCGCTGTGTGCGCGCAGCGTGTTTGAAATAAAACGTTGGAAGCGGCTGTGAGCCTCGACTGCCGCACTGCTCCGACGGAGCCTTTGTGCTATGGAGCGGAAGCTGAAAAATCCATCTGAAGTCTGTGGCCGTTTTCCTTTCGGTCCCTTTGGGAAGATCATCCGGTGCTGTTCTCAGCCACCCACCAGGGCTCTTCCTTCCATCCATCTCCCGGTTCTTCGGGGCTGTGGGTGGGTGGGTGGGTGCTCTGCTTCCCCACCCCCGACTGGGCAGAGAGCTGCTCCTGTCGGAACGTCCTGTGTGCTCCCCGCAGCTCTGTGCCTTGCGAGCACGGCGGCAGCCTTTTGTGTTGCTGAGAGGGCTGCTCGATCGCTGTGAACCTCGGAGCACAATGTGTTAGAAGTCGTAATGTATCCAAGCACCTTCTCTTCAGAATGTAGCAAACCGTATGTTAACGTTTTTAGTGTGTTATTCTGAAGCTAATGAACTTTTGTCTTGGAATTGTATTTGGAGATGCGGGAAGTGATTCATGAGTGAATGATATGGAATAACGGGATGTGAGCGAGGATGCTGGCAACTGGAACTGACCCTGGAGGTGTACAAGGAACATTTAGGCATTGTGTTGAGGGACGTGGTTTACTGAGAACTGTTGGTGACAGGTGGATGGTTGCACTGCATGATCCTGTAGGTCTTTTCCAACCCTGGTGATTCTGTGATTCTAACTGAGCCCTGTGCAGATGTGTGCTCAGTGTCCCTGCCCTTTGTCCTGTGCTGGGCAAGGAGATGAACTCAGAGCGCAAATATGTTCTCTTCTTTTTCAGAGGAAAGATCTCTTGTGGTTCTTATGTTGGTTGCAGTGCTGGGAGCCTGTTTTGAAAAGCTCTCTGAGGTTACTGTGTTCTGAAAACTTCAGTCCCCGGTGCTTGTGTGCCCATAAAAATGCTCATGAATTCAGAGAGAATTGAGCAAGTATTGCACGCAGCCCTTCTGTGCCACACACACTGAGCTGAACGCTGAGGCAGCCCTAAGGTAGCTGTGGTAAGCAGAGCTGCAGGGAAACGGTTTTATTTCAGCCTCTTAATTTATGAACGTATTGGTGCAGCCTCTTTGCTGCTTGCATTTTTTCTCAGCGCTCTCAGTCAGCAAGTCTTAATACCAAATCCCCCGCTGTGTTTCTCAGCTAACACGCCTTGCAGGGCTCTGTGCTGTGTTGTGCAGCCAGAACTCAAACAGGAGGGTTTTCCTTTGGGCACGCCTGCAGCTAGAATGCATCTCTGGCATTGGGAGCAGGGTTCTGCTTGGGAAAGAATGCACTTTTATGCCAGTTCTTGAAATGCCTGCAGGCAGACTTGCACTTGTTGATTTGTCAGAAGGCTTTTTAATTGCTTAACAGAACAAAATACAGAAGTTAAAAATTAAAAAAAGAAAAAAAAAAAAAAGACGACAATTAGACCTCTGTTAGAATGCTGCTCTTGTTCTCTGGTTTGATCTGCCTGCTTTGAACAAGTGGTGACGCTATGGGCCTTGCCTGTGAGAGTATTTATCTCCAAAACTGCTGAGAACGAGTAGGAGCTGCCTCCTTTGACAGGAGCATGGGCATGTAGTCATTGGCACCGGAGCGCACAGCCTGGGCTCACAGATGGTTCTGTTCTGCAGGGCTCCGCTGCTGGCACAGCGCTTGGTGGGGCAGTGCTGCAGGCTGTGTGTGTGTGCGGTGCTGCTGCTGCCCACAGCCACAGATTGCCGCAGGACTGGGCAGGAGCGCGTGGGAGCTGGAGAGGTACCGGCCTGTTTGTGGAGCGCTCAGTGCCCGTGGTGGCTTTTATTCTGTGTATTCTTGGCCACTTGTATTTCCGTTTCTAAAAATACGCTTTTTCCTTTCTTTACTCGTCCTGTGGTGTTCCAGGGGTGTTTGTTTGCTCCTGTTGTTTGTGTAAGGGAGTAAGTGCACTCTGCAGCTTTACAAAGAAAGAGATGCTTGAGGTGATGAAATTATGTAGTGAGCAGAAATAGGAGCTCAGCATCTTATTGTTACAGTGCTCTGTTGTGCACTCAAGTGGTAGAAACCGGGTCAGTTCTTTAGGATGTCTTAACTGCTGAAGTAGTTAATTTCCCTCTTACAAACAAGGCTTTTCATGTGTAATTTCTCTGTTCTGAAGCAGTCTTCTGTTAGTAAATGCAGATCTCACCTGCTCCTCTGATGAAGCAACTCACTGAGATGAAGCTGAACGTAACCCTAAGAATCGGGGCTGTTTCAGTTGTTCCACAAGGCCGGTAAGGCTGCCCAGCGCTGTGCATGCTGCCTTGCAGCTCGTGCTGCTGAACTCTTTTGAGGTGGTAACCTTTGAAGATCACTCCAGCATAAAAAGCTGTTTCCTTGCCTGTGGTACTGTGGATGCTGTTACATGAGATGGGTGATCATCTCTGTGTTCTGCTGGGCATTTTGATCTTCCTCCTTTACCTTTGGAAGAACGGCGTCCTTTTATTGTCCAAGCTGAAATGATTGCTGTCGGTTGGGATCAGTGCTCTGGTGGTTCAGCAGCAGAAAACATCTGCATCCAATTTCCGTGCAGGTCCTTGTGTTCACTGCTGCTGTTTCACAGAGCAAGGTGGGGAGCTGTTGGTCTGAATCTGTAACTTGCAGAGCTCCTGTAGAAAACCTTTGTGTTGTGATGTGTTGTGAATGGTTTGCTGAGAAACCTATGGCTTCTCCCCTGGTAGAGTAAGTTGTTGCAAA